ACATCACCCGCCGTAATGAACTACTCTCCTGCAGATGGCACTACCTACGGAATTGTGTACATTGGCAGAAGCCTAATAGGCACAGCCAAGTCAAAGTTACGGGAACCCGATAGCAACCAATTTGCCGACAATCATCCTTTGAACCCCAGACTCAATTCGCTCAGGGCACAAAGGACACCCAACCATCCATTTAACGTAGCAGTTCGGCGGTGTTTTATTTGTAAAAGCTCCTGCTTTGAGCTTGCTGAGAGGCTTGCTGACAGTCTTCTACAGATGCGGTTTGGAAAGGACTTTCAGAAGCACGTGCGTAGGGCGCGGTAAATGGGGACCACCCAACGAACTTCCGGTGGTCTCTTGAGATTACACACCCGCGCTTGGGTGGCATACTGACATACAGAAATATAGTACATCGTCCAACCGAGGCTACGAATTTCTCACAGTTGGGTCAATTGAATTATTCAAAGCCACCAACCTCCCTCCTCCCTAATATATTGTCTATCCTATGAAAAGTCAGCCGAAATTCTGAGATGCGCTTCTAATTCGAATATGTTAATAATGTTTGTGATATTCATTAGCATAAGACTTAATATCAATAGATTTCAGTCCCTGCAGGATGCCGGCGTTTCACGAAGCTTTCCTCTGACCACCAGGAAGAAGTATATTTTGCAAAAAATGGCTACTTAATTAGTATTCCTCTTCTCTTTGATTTTTGCTGCCCTAATAAATTCGAATCTGTGTTATAAAAATTGCACGCAAACATTATTTTTTGTACTAATTTGGTAGAAAGGCATGCCTTCATTAAAGAGCGCACATAAAAAGAAAATCTTACGATTTATAAAAATTGCTAAATTCTTAAATCCTCGAAAGCCACGAAACTGCATTCGTTTCTGCAAGGTCTACGTGTCAGCTGTGACTCATTCGCGTACCTACAGGCCCTTGTTGGTCAAGCTTCGTGTGAATGTTCACTGCCACTCGCTTTTTCCTGGCCCTTCTGTTAAAGCAATGCAAATGCAGTGCAAATTAACGTCGACAGATCGGCATAAGCTCAATAAGTATTTACTAACATCCACAGAGGTAAAACTTAATATCTACATTCGTTGGCGAACGATCACCGATCGCTAGCGACGGAAGTTACTCGTTCCGTTCTGTCTTAGCGTTCACTTTGAGACCCTGCTAGCGGCCTCACAAGGGCAAGTCGAGTAGGCAAATGAACACTGCCGGCAGACAGAAGGCCAGTCTTCTATTTCATCTCCAAAATACAATATTGCTGAAAGTGACCTACGAGTGGATCTGGCACTCGCTACCATTGCATTTTTTCTTAGGAAAGGCACTTAAACGAAGACGCCTGTGTAAGTTCATGACTAAACTATGCAAGGAAAATTTTGAGAGCGAATTCTGGCGCGTCTGTAGTGGCTCAGCAGCCTACCTTCTCCTAGCACGACATGCCACTGACGAGGTCAGACAATGGTGATCTTGGTTGCCCGGTCGCGATCTAATCAGCGCAATGGCCCTTGTCCGCTTGCGACGTGCAAATTCACCAAGATATCCACTATTTTTCTCCTCACTATTTGAAAGTTTATACGCTTCCCAATCCCCATTAAAACACAGGTATAGCGTCCGCTGCCAATGCTCTGGTACAACTTCCTGACATACCTTCCTGCCTGCTGCTTATATATCATGCGTAACCCGAAAATCAGTCCTAACCAAGCAACCTTAGCTGAATTTGTATCCCGAAGTATGATATTTTTTCCAGTATATCGTTTTCGCTTATATTTTCTAACAAAAGGGGCAGCCGCCCTCTTTACAATCTGCGAACGAACCTGTAAGTGCATAATTGAAGCGCATAAACCTCCAATATAAGGAGAGGAGTAAGTAGTTTTTCGTCTGCAGCAGATAGGCTGTCATGATTAAAGAATCCCCTCATTCTGAAAGGCGAATAAAATTAAAAATATGCTTTTGGTTTATGCGGTAGGGCGTACTAACACAGGGTTTGCTCGTCCTCTCTCATTTGGACTTGAAAATCATTTTCATCGACGAAAATGCAACCATATAGCCCGGTTGCCTTTGAAACTATCCAACATACTTAGCAATTTTCATAAGGATAAAGAACTTAGTTTACAGCAGTATCGAAGACTCCCATAAATAATTCAAAGTGCAGCGAAATTTACCACTTCTCCCTAAACTCTATCTAGAGGTTTGCGATATAGAGGTTCATAAGTCTGCAACGGTTATTTTGTATGCTCTACAATTACCACCTTTAGATTGATGACAGCGTGTATAATTGGATAATATACGGCATTGTCCGCTTGAGTAGGTACGAATTATTGTCCAAATCAGAATCACCAACCTGGTATCAATGAAGCACATTTATTAAGCATTCTGTTGTTGGCAAGTTACAATTTGGGTATAATAGTTAGCACTTTGTAAACTTGGGTGAGTAGGGCAAGAGGGAGGGACATAAGGCAACCTTCGGTCAACAGCAAAGCCGAAGCACTGGAGTCAGCGTAGGATTTCTTTTTAGGTGGCGCAGCGATGGCATTAGTCCCGGTGGTTTGGCTAATGGTGTTCACAGTGCCGAGGAGGAATCTCTTCATCCGGATGCTCTAGAAAGCTCAAGCTAAAATGAAAGACGAATTCCAGGTGATTGAGTTCGGTGAAGGCAAGTTCAGACAAGATAAATCCCCTGGCAACAATAAATTTGGTCAAGGCCCTTAGATATCTCCTAGCCCCAGGATTCTGTCTTAGGGGTGCGGTGTTAATAGAAGTTTTTGTGATCGGAAAGAAAAGCTAAGGTAAGGAAACTAAGAATGAAAAACTTAAGTAAAAAAGAAAGCTTATAAAATCAGAAAATAACGGACAACAATCGTGTAAATAACCGAAAATATACGCGCGATATTTACACTGAAAAAAAACCAGTAGTAAAGAAGAACTGCACAAAAGTACGTATAAACAGGCGTGCAAATAAAGCCAAGTTTAGAGATTAAAATAAAACCATAAAAGATAGTCGTTCCTCCATTTTAAAAACCTCCCAATAGCTTCTAATGCATTTATACATATTGTATTACGATGAGCCGAGAGGCAACAGTATGTCGCTTAACAAATTAAATTAATTATAAAACTTACTATAACTAAAATTAAACTAACGAACTAAACTCAAATTTATAAAATTAAAATTAAAGTCAGGAAGCTAAAGCAGTTCTTAGTTTTAAGGTGCAGGAAAAGGCGTGCATATGCCTACAATATTAAATACGGTAGCTATATGTGTACATTTATTTAAAGATAACTGACAATTGAGCAATTTAGAAACACTTTAGCCTGGTGTACCAACTCACCTCAGATGAGACGACTGCAGGTACTGAAGTGACAAGGATGCAATCTTATTGTGGCTGCTTAAATAGCTATGCACTGTGCGGCTGATTGGCTGCTTTGCCCTGCGGTCTAGGTCAAAGAGTTCAAAGTTCACACAGTTGGTGACTTGATGGGTCGCCCATGTGTGATTCAGACCAGAAAGATTATGATTGGCTACGTCAGCACAAATTATATTATTTGGCCTGTTTGTCGGTCAAAAACGTACTCTAGCCTACGGGATACTTCACTCGCAGTATGGATCAAAGTTAGATTTAGCAAGTACACTTACGCACTTGTCACTTATATGTGCATAATTAGTTCAATATTAGTCCTAGTGATAATAGATAATAATGACAGGGTTTAAGGTGGACAATTTTATTGACAGCAGACATAGAAGCTGGAAGCCGTAACATATTGCTAGTTTATCGAAATTAGCGGTCAGTTTCTGAATAACTCGAAAAACAGCAATTGAATGGTTATTTTTAGGAGGTAATATATGTAATAAAAGCTAAGATGCGCGTCTTCGGACATAAATGAGAAGATAAGGCGGTCTCATTGTTTTATCCTCCTAAAGTTTCAAAAGCGTACGGGCTTCCGTCATCAGAGGTGGTAATTGTACCGCGCCTCACAGTATTGATAGGTGTTGGCTGTTAACGTCAATAAGGGCTAAGGAGCGATGCTCAATCATCGTCCCCTGTGAAGCGTAATAACCTCAGTCAAGGGGTCTTCCGTCGTCTAAATTACCGAATGATTTTGAAACCTATCCACTGCCAGAACTGAATTCATGTTTTTCAAACTGAATGCTGTGTTCATGCAGTTTAAGTAAAAGTATGTTCTTGCCTACGTTTTGAGGAAGTGGTTGCATATTTCTCATAGAATTTCGCAGTAGACATGGATCATGCTGTTTATATCAAGGGCAGCATTAATAAATTGACGGATACGATGTATCATGAATGAAGACTACAAAGTCGTAAAAAAACTCAAATTTAGAAATTTTTTTTAAACAAACGAAAATTCTTTCTTTAAGAATACAATTTAAAGAAGGCGTAATTTGCTATCCAATAAGTGCAAGAGATTATTTTTTCATGCATGCTTTCCATAAAATATATTTGAATTTATAAAGGCAGTCAAAATCGATGATAAAAATGCATATAATTACAGTAGCCATTTTTTACAGAATCAGCTTTTTCGCAGCCGTCAGAAAGAAGCTTATCACAGAGTCGGCATCCTAGCTTGACTGAAAATAATTTAAAATGGACTGCATGATAAACAGGATTACAACCATACTCAATGTTGCTTTGCGAGTGATAACCGGTCTTTTTCAAATTGCGGAATGTTGCTTGCAGCACTCGCCATACCGTAAGTTTTTACTGAACACAGACACATATCTACTTATCAGAATAAAAAAGCCACAAAAATATCGTACTATTACCTCTAAAATAAACATATTTCCGATATCTGTTATTTGCTGATCCTCAGACGTAAACTTCGAAGTCCCATATCCTGGGCGGCATGAATCCTTTACCACTGCTTATCGCTATACTCTCTGTGGACTCTAGTTTTGTGCTGTTAGGCAGAAGAATGCGTTTGTGACCGTCGGGCGGAGGAGTAATATTGCCCGTTTTAAAGTTCTAACTGACCATCAGGTCATTCTGAGACGGTTATGACTACGTAGTAATGGTTTACCTTCCACGATTAAAGCTATTATTAATATTTTTATGCATTTTTTTAATCTAGAAAAACTGAATCGACATACTCGGTGGCACATGTAGGATATCCTGTCAAAGCCTGTCAGTTTGAAACGATGCCAATTTGCAATAAAAAGGAAAATGAAATGTGAAATAAGTCTTCTGAAAAAAAACAAAAATGCATGGGTCAGTGGCCGACTGGCTTAATTTTCCTCTTTCCTTAATGAAGCGAAGAATCAATCTTGCAATAGGTGAGGGCTTTCTAGAACATTGCATTTTTCGAAGATAGTGCATAAGTTCTCCCTATTTAGTCTCCTGGCGTGAGAACGTGTATGCGCACCGCGCTATGGTCCTTGTTTTGTCGTTTTCCATTCACAGCTTTTCAAAAGCCATCAGACTTGATTACAGTGGCCGGGGAGCTGGCATCTTAGGGAGCCTCTACCTACTAGGAACATCAAACCTGGTCCCTTTCGCATTGAGGCGATAGACGAAATTTAGACGACAAGGTATTCTGTAAAGAGTAGTGGGTGTGCAGATGAGGACAAGTTGGTAGCTGGTCGATATCACAATTCAACGCCGTAAAAGTGAAGTCCCGAGCGGAAGGGACTGAGTCGACAAAGTACCTTGAGTTAGGGCATTACTAAGTCAGCCTTAAAGTTTATTTGTCAGTTTTCATGGTTAGGAACAAGACGCAAATCGTTGCGACGAGAATCCGGAGCAGGGTCTATCCAAGGCGTTTGTACAAATAGCCCAACAAGGAACCATTACAGCCTGACTCGCAGTCCGCCAGTCAGTCCTCCAAACCAGAAGGCACACACTCGACTGACTGCGCGGTCCGAGTTATCGCTTCACTTGGTAATCGGCCAAGCTGTGGCTTTTAGCGCACCGCGATAGCTTCAAGCGCGTCAGATTCATTAAAGTGACGAATCCTCATTACGGTGAGGAAGAAGCGCGCTGAGGGTCATCCTCACTCTCTCCCCCACCGCCAGCAAAAGGCCGCCTGAGTAGGGATAGGGTGCAAAACTGAAACGGAAAGCAGATCGGAGATGAGCAGGTCGTGCAGGGAAAGAGGAAGAGAGAGTGGGAAGGAGAGAAGAAATGAGTGAGAAGGAGTAGAGCGAAAGGCAATAATGAGGAAAGGAAGGAGGAGAGAGAGAGAGGGAGAACAGAGAAAAGGAACGAACGGGAAACGAGAGAGGAAACAGGGAGGACGAAGCGGAAGCGAAGAGTGAAGCGAAAGTTCGAGAACAAGAACGGAAGAACAAGAGCTCAGCTTACCTTGTAGTGGAGAATATTCAGGGACTGCTAAGGCTTACGATGGAGAGCCTTGCGTTGGTGTTGAAAGACTGAGCTAGAGGTGCGATTTATAAGCGTGAGTGCGGTAAAAGTGCGAGTAAGGCAA